CCCCTGGGCACTGGCAGCACTACAGCGAGGGCATGTTTTCCTTCGGCGTGGAGGACCAGATGTTGGCTCGCAAGCCCATGGACGGCCCCGGCCACTGGTGAGTTGGGGGGCCGGAGAGGCGGAAGAGCCGGGTCCGAATCAAGACCCCAGGGCGGACGTGGAAATCCCACCGGCTTCTGGAATCGGGGAGCAGGAGGGCCTCTGGGCACGTGCCGGCCCCCCGGGAGCTGAGTTTGCAGCAGGACACCCCCCGAATCCCTTCCCAGCCCCAGAGCGAGAGAAGAAACGAGACTTTGCGGGGAGGGCGAGCCTTGGTCCTAAACCCACCTCTGCCGAATCCTCTGGTTCCTGTTGCTTCTGAGCCGACTTTAGCTTCACGAGCGTCTCATGAACGAAATCGCTTTTCCCAAAAAAGCAGCAAGGAATGGCTGCTCCTTCCAGCTGCTGAGACCGTTCCTGGTTTTGCAGCCTCATGTTTGGCCACCGGCCCCGATCCTGGCGGGAGCTGCCCCTGCGCTTGGCCGACTTCGGGGTGCTCCATCGCAACGAGGCCTCGGGGGCCCTGATGGGGCTGACGCGCGTCCGTCGCTTCCAGCAGGACGATGCCCACATCTTCTGCTCCGTGGATCAGGTGAGGGGGCTGGCGAGGGGCGCGGTCGCGATGCCAGCGTGGCTGAACCAAGAGCCTTCCTCTCCCCGGCTTGGAGCCCGTCTGGCACACGCGGTGCCCGCTTTGAAGGGGGCCACCCAGGAAGCCCCTTTCCGCCGCACCCACCAGCATCACACGCTTCCCCTTCTCTTCCCACTTCAGCTGGAGGGGGAGATCAGAGGCTGCCTCGATTTCCTGCAGGCCGTTTACTGCGTCTTCGGATTCAGCTTCCGCTTCTTTCTCTCCACCCGCCCCGCGCACTTTCTTGGGGAGCCACCTCTCTGGGATCAGGCCGAGCAGGTGAGGACACCCCCCGCAGCCTGTCGCCCTCCAGAGCCCCCCTGCCAGCAGGGAGTCTCCCGTTGCGGGTGAGGGGCTCAGGGGTCCACTGCCGGGGAAGAGAGCTGGTGTGCCGAGGGTGGGCTTCGAGGGGCCTCTCTCTCTGCCTCCTGCAGCGCCCTCCCTGTGGGTTGGCACAGCCGCTCAGCAGGGCTGGTTCCCTGTCGGTGGGCCTTGTTCGCTCCGAAGGATTTGGGATATTCTCGGCTTCTTCGCCATACATTGGCCTTTGGTGCCTCCCCCCGCAGTACCCATAACAGGGCCCACGACAGCCCGGCTGGCGCCTCCTCAGATGCCAGGGGGCCACATAATACCTCTCTCTTCCCTCCCAGCTGCTGGAAAAGAGCCTCCGGGATTTCGGCCAGCCGTGGGAACTCAACCCTGGGGACGGCGCCTTCTATGGGCCCAAGGTCAGTGGGGGCCAGCTGGAATTGGAAAACGGAAGGGTTCCTAGAGGTCCTGTAGCCCAGCCCCTGGTGGGCGTGAGATACCTTGACGGGTGGCTTCCAGACCCAAAGTGAGGGCTCCCCCACCGCAGAGAAGGAGGGAAGGCCTGGAAAAGGGGAGCCAAAAAAGCGGCTGGTGCTCTCTGCCCCCTGCTCTGGGTGTTACGAATGGGAAATCACCTTCGCCTTTTCTGCTGCTGTCGCACCCTGCTGGCTCACACTGCAGAGCCCCAAGATCCGTTTTGTCAGGGCTCGACAGGCTTGAGGGAAAGCAGCTTCGTGCTTGAATTACCGGCCTGGGGACATTGCCGCCCAACTGTTTATGTTTTGGGCCTGGCTCCTCCCAGGCCTTCTCTGGCCCCACCTGCACAGTCTACAGGGGTGAGGCTGAGTGGTCTCAGCCTCGTAAATCCCTGAACGGTGAGTTCACAGGGCTGCAGGACCAGCGAGGGGTTAAAGGGCCAGGTGGCCTCTGCCGAACGACAGCGTTGATTCGTGCCACGGTCCTCTGGTCCCGCTCTCAGCATTCCTTTCCGCTGAATGGGTCCATTCCACGCCAGGAATCTTGCGGTCCTTCTCGGGGCTGCTGGCCCCTTGATGCCGCCCCCCCAGTGCATATCCAGGGCCATTACTTCTTGCCACATAATTAGGAGCTTAGAGCCTTGCTACGAGAGAGGCTCAGCCGAACAAAAGCAAGCGGCCGATGGCCAAGTTTCTAGTTCTCATGAATCGCCGTTTTACAGCCCCCCAGCACCGGTGTGATCCCTGTGGCGAGCTTTTCACGCCAAATGAATGCCAGGCCAGGAGAGCAGTAGTGTAGGAGCAACTTGTTTGTAATGGGGGGGGGGGGGAAATAGCACCTCTTAAGTAGGTATTACTTCTCGTAGGAGAGCAAAGGTCGAGAAAGCTTTCCCAGGGATGGACATCAGCTGTTGGGGTAAATCATGCCCCGGTGGGTTTCTCCGGCTTCGCAGGTGGACGTTCAGATCCAGGATGCCCTGGGGCGATTCCACCAGTGTGGCACCATTCAGCTGGACTTCCAGATGCCGCTTCGCTTCGACCTCTCCTACAAGGGGTAAGCTCCACTCGAAGCATCGTTGCTCGCAAGGAGCTGGGCCTCCTCGCTGGCTGGCAAGCTCCCGGCTGGAAAGACCCGTGTCCCAGGGCAGAAAGCGGGGCTCCCTTTTACCATCCCCACCGATCGGCAGGCGGTTTGGAGCACTGTCCTGGCGCTGAGGCTTTCCAGTGGGCCAAGCAGGCCACCGCTGCTGCCGAGCCCGGGTCCTTCCCAAACCACCCCGAGTTTCATCCCAAAATTAAAATAATTGGAACCTTTTCTTACTCCCATGTTTTTGGCTACCGCTGCAAAAATGAAGAAGTAGAGTTCGCTTTGCGTATTCTGATAGCTGCAGGGCTCTGGGTAAACAGCGTTACGTATAGCCACACGGGCTTGGAAGGGAAGTTGCCTGTTTGTCAAATCCGTAGGCCTTTTCCTTTTTTTTGAAGAAAAACCCTAAAAGTGGTTACCATCAGCTTAGCACGTTGTCATAACAGACCACCAAGCCGTGACCGCGTAAGGTCTTCGTAACTCATGTGGGGGGATTGCTGACGCAGAAGGCACGGCACTTCCGTCAGAGAGATGCCCGCTCCTCTTCACAACCCGGAGTTCCCTTTTTCCCTTCCTTCGCCTTCTTTGCTGCCAACTTTAGCAACTCCTGTACCCATCTGACTAGCAAGAGGGGAAGAGGAACAGCGGCCAAGCAGGAATGCCTGGGGAGGGAAATCCAGAGATCGGGTTTCCTGGCAGACAGGGGGCAAAGAGAGGGGCTGGCACCATCTGGGCCCGATGCCAATTCCACGCCAACAATGGAAGCCAGGTTCCCCGAAATGTGGCACTTCAGGGGCCGAGCCACTCTTCCAAAGGCTGCAGGTGGCCCTTTTAAAGACATTCTCCTGAGTGGTAGAAAAACTTGGACTGGATTCCAGGGCGTGGCGCTTTGAATCAAGTACTGTCTCAGCACTCGGGGTCTGATGCAGAACAAGGTTTCTGCCCCCCCCCGCCATCCTTGAGAGCGCAAGCCTGGGTTCAAAGCCACTGGAGGTCCAGCGTGCGAGTCTCGGCTTCTGCTGGTTAAAGATTAATAGACGTTTTGCAGTTCCAACTTCCTAGTCCTTAGGAAGGCAAAGGGATGCTTCAGAGGTTGGGGGGGTGACTGCCTGGAAGCTGCATGGGTGAGAGGCCCCCCTCTGATTAACGGAAGGCAAGGTGGTGCACAACGGCGCACGCCTCTTTATGCTCCGCGTAGGCCGTGGCAGTGGGGCTGGCTCGGCCCCCAAAGGGCTTGAAAGGGGTGGCGAGGGAGGCCCAGCTCTGCCCTCTGTCTTCCCTGCAGGAGAGATGGCGGGGCCCCAGAGAGGCCGGTCCTGATCCACCGGGCGGTGCTGGGCTCCGTGGAGCGGATGCTGGCGGTCCTGGCCGAGAACTACGGGGGCAAGTGGTGAGTGGCCGCAGGGCCCTTCCCCTTGTCCTCCTCCCGCCTCCGTTTTCCCTGTTTCTGCCGGTAACTCTAAGCACGACCCCCAAAATGAGGTCCGCCCAGATCTCTCCCAAACAGCCGGGAATCGGAAGCCAAGGGCCCAACCGTGGTTCCCGTTGGGAGAACAAGCAAGGGCCACGGCGTCTTTTGCCGGCCAGTGGGGGCCTGGGGGGCCACCGAGTTTTGGGAGTTGGCGGGGTGGGAATTGCTGGAGGGGGTGCCAAGGCCCAGCCGTGTGTCCTGCTTTCCCCCAGGCCCTTCTGGCTGTCCCCCTCCCAAATCATGGTCATCCCGGTCGGCCCAGACGCAGAGGAGTACGCCAGCGAGGTGAGCACCATGTTTCCTCCCCCGTGGCTTAGCCTGTGGGGCAGAGAATGGGGGGTAGAAACGCTGAAGAGTGCAAACAGCAAAGGAGGTGGGGGCACTCCAGCGGCTTCTGACCCTCACGGGTACTAAAACCTCAGAGTGAACTGATGTGAAGGAGGGAAATGGGGGCACCTTTAGCCAAGGGGTTTGCTTTGATCCGACCCTTCGGAAGGGAGGTTCCTTGCAAGGGGGCAACCGGGCAGACCCTCCGCAGGTGAACTTGGCCGGTGCTGAGAACCCCCTAGATTTGGGATTGCATTGCTATGGGCATCACAACGGCCTCCCCCCCACCCGCCCCCAGTACCGCAGCAGCAGCGGGGTTAACTGGCATTGTGGGCTCTCCTTCGGGGGCAGGTCCAGCAGCTCTTCCACCAGGCGGGATTCAGGACAGACCTAGACGCCGATTCGGGAGCGACCCTCAACCGCAAAATCCGAAGAGCCCAGCTGGCACAGTGCAATTTCCAGTTTGGTGAGTTGGCACCCTGCCTTTTGTTTGGCCTCCGCATCGTCTGTGGCAGGAGCCCACAGCCTTTGGCCCCACACCCCAATTTCTCTGGGGGGCAGAAGGGAGGAAGGACTGATGGGGACACTTAAACCGGAGCAGGTTAGCTAAAAAGCCGAGAAAAGCCGGGCCCCCAGAAATCTCGGATCACTTTTTCTTGGTTTTGGGGCAGGGAAGGATTTTGTGATTTGAAGAGGGGAAGAACGGACAAGAGGGCTCATCAGGTTTCTGGCCCTGAGGATTTTGTGAACAGGCCTGGAAGCGTCGCAGTGATTTAGAAAAGAGCCAGGGGGTTGTACTTTTACGCGCTGTGTGGGAGCTCGTGGTCAGGCTGCCCGAGGCGGTGACGGGGTCCTTCTCCCTTGCAGTGGTCGGCCAGAAGGAGATGACCCGCCGCACCGTGAACGTCCGCACCCGGGACAACCGCCAGCACGGCGAGAGAGATTTGCACGAGGTCCAGAGCCGGCTCCGAGAACTCCAGGACAGGCGGGTCAGAAACGCCGAGGAGCTCTTTTGAGCAAAACGTGGTTTCCCTGCAGGGCTGGCGGGGCTCTTGGGTGCAGGAGGGGGCCTCCGAGGCTTCCACGCTTCGTTACGAGGGCCTAGTCCTCACCGAGGAACGCCGAGGGCCCAGGAGCCCCGTCTCCCTCCTTGCTGACTGTTCAGGAGAGGGCACCCTCCGTGGGCGGGTCCGGTTTCCCGGAGCACCTGGCATTGCTCAGGGATGAGTCGTCTGCACAAGGGCAGTGCTAAGCCGCGTTCTGGAGGTTCTCAGGAGCTCTCAGACGTGGGGCCGGGGCCCTGCCCGCCCCGTTCACGCCCTTTCCCGGATGCCTGCGGGGGGTTGCTGCAAAAGCCAGGCCCGACGGAGGGGGGGGCAGTCAGCTCACAACTTCCAGGTTGGCTCTGGAGCCACTGGCAGGTCCCCACCAAGGCCCCTCCCCAGGATGCTTTGATGCACCTGCTGATAAGGGCTGGGGCCCCAAGCGGTCCAGGGAGTGACTCAGAGGAAGCTCTTGGGGGGGCCTCCCCCCAGCTGACTCAGAAGCTGTTCTCCCCCCCCGCCGCCCCGGCTTAAGAGCTGGACACGGTCCCAAATCCTCAGGGGAGGGGCTTGGGAGGGGGCTGGCAGTGCAATTTGAGTTTCCTTGCAAGCCCCCTCCCCCAGCAGCCATTGGAAGGGCTGGGAGGCCTCCGATCCCACTTGGCATGCCTGCGACCCCTCCGTGAAGCAGAGCCTCCATGCTCTGGGGCAGTCGGCCTTCGCACACAGGGAAGTCTCCTCTCGAGGGAACAGGACGTGCTGGACAAACAGGACTCCTGAGTGTGTTGTGGGTCGGTGTGACGCAGCGGCTTTTTCTCTCTCGTCTCCAAAAAGTGGTTTGGGCACAGGAGGTGACTCGGTCAGTCAGCCAACGCTGACTCAGTCAAACTTGAACCCAGGTGTGTCTCGGCTGGCTGCTTTTCCTCTTCCTCGGAAGCTCAGAACAGCTTGCAGGGCTGAGCGGAGACCGGCTGTTGCCTAAAGAACTGGTTGAGAATGGCCGGCAGGCGCTGGGCTGGGGGGCCCTTCCTTAACGGCTCCCAGAAGGCTGGCATGTTTTAGAAAAGGCCTGGGCCTGATCCCAGCGATGTCTTGCTTCCAAGATGGGAGATTCCCTTGGCACGCGCCCCCCCGTGGCTTTATGGGGGCCGGGGTCTCCCAAGGGAGAGAGCTGGGCTCTGGAGGCCGGAGAGCCAGTAGCCCCAGCGGTGCTTTTCGGATGTCCCAAACAGCCGTAGAACAAACCCGGTGTTTGCCGCTCCAGAGTAGGGGGAGCTTTTGGGGGGCAGAGCTCATCCTCTGCCAAGCGCCCCCTCCCTGCGCTTGGGACCCCCTTGGAACCAGCACCGAGGAGGGCTCCCGTCTTGCCCAACCCTCACCCTGTCCCTGCTGAGGTTCAGTAGATGGGCGGTCCGCCTCTTTGCGGAACAGCCGGCTGTCGGGGAGACTTCCCGGGCCAAAGTGGGCGGACGCGCGAGGCCCCTTCGTCATCGGTTGCCGACCAGGGTGACAGCGACCAGCCCGTTCCTGGCATCGTATGCCTCTTCTCTTCTGTTGGGACCGAGCGCTCGCTTTGACCCCAAGCCGGGCAAAGGGAGAATAAACCACTAGGCCGTGATTCAAGTTTGCACCTGCCAGGGAGTAACCCTGTTTAGTCTAATCAAGAAAAAGGCCCTTCAGAGGCATCCTGGCCGGGGCCTCCCCGTGCACCGGACGCGGGGAGGAGAGGCCAGATCCCTAAACGTGGCGAAGAGGGTTCGCGCTGCCGTTTGGAAAAGCGTGTCCAAAGCATGTTTCAGGTGTAGGAAAATGAAATAAACCCTTTTAAATCTGCACTGGTTTAATTCAGTTCCTTAATTTGGGGGGCTTGCTGTTAGTCATTTGTAACGTGGAGGACCGGTGCTCTGCCCATGCTCAGGAGCGCGCTTTGTTGCTTTAACCAGTGTAGAATTTGGACTTGGATCTTGGGGTCCCCTGCCTGCTAAATGGCGCACGATCGGATCGCCTCTCTCCAGGTTACACTGGATGGTTCTAACGTGGAGGCTCATTATGGGATGGGGCCCACGTCTGCTGAGCCGTGCAGAGTCCCCTTGGGTTGCATCTGGTTCTCGTTTGGGGACCGCGGGCACTGGGAAGCCTCCCACGCCACTGGGGTCCCCATCTTCTTGGGCTGCGGACGCGTCCCCCAGGCCCCCTTTGACCTTCACCCCTTGGCATGGAGCAGGGGCTGCCCCAAGTTTCAAAAGAGCCAGTGGGCACGTCGCCGGGGCCTCCACCTGCCCGTCTTGCTGTCAGCGGGCACGTTTCTGTTACTCATTTTTCCCCGCAGCACCTTGGCAGGAATGGCGGGCCTGCCTTTGCCCTCTTTGCGGCTTGGCGAAAGGAGGAGGGAGCCCCGTTCGGGATTCGAGGGGGGGGTTTTCATTTTCATAACATGCCACTTGTTTCTCAAGGAGCTTACGTGTCAGCGCAATGTTTGTCTTTCACAACTGCTGTCCCCACCACCCGGCTGTTTTCCAGGGAGCCGGGGCGACTCATGTGAGCGAAGAGTGACTTGGAGGCCTGTTGCAACCCGGCTCGCCTCCCACTGGCGGGCATCATGCTCGGTTGCCCTTGTGCAATCGGGCCCCTGACACCCACCCCCACACCTGTTCCCTGCAGACTGGTTTGTTTTCTAAACCGTAAATAAGGACCCTTAAAAATTCCACTCGTCTGAGAAAGGTTTCCTCCCCCCGCTTTTTGTTTTTAACTTTCCTGGCGGAATGGAAGATTCTGCACCCGAGCGGTTGAATTGTGCAAGCCGCCCGTTTGCCACCACGCAACTTGCCTTGGGGAGACAGAGACGCTTCAAAGAGGCGTGAAAGTCTCCTAATGCCCCTCCCCAGTGTGGCCAAAATTCAGGAGGCGCCTTTTCAAATGTTACGAAAGGGCACGGAGGGAGCCTTAATAAAATGCCTTTTAATAAAAGGGGCTAGTTGGAAAAGGTGTTCCCAGATTCCTGATTCTGACCCCCCGCAAACTGACATGGCCTCCTCCTACAATATCTGCATGGAAATGGGGATAAGCAAAGGGGAAGAAAACATGTTTAACAGCTGAACCATTCAGGACAAGCATTTAGGGCCATAAGAAGGTTATAATCAATAAAAAATAGCATGAGTTCAGCTTGGTTCCTGCTAACTCCAGGCCCACGTCCATGATATCTTCCGGGTAGCAGGATAGAGGTGGTTTCCCATCGCCACCTTCCAATTTTTTGGGGGGGGGATTCTGGTCTACCTGGATTTCCTTGTGGCCTCCCATCCAAGGCTCAACTGGGTTCAACTTGACTTGGCCAGGGGCTGCCCTCAAATTCTTGATTGCTTGGTCTGGATGACTTTGTCTCTCAATTGGACCACCGAAGCAGCCTGGGATTGGGGGTGAGACCCTGACGCTCCCCATTTGCAGCTGTGAACCCCAGCGGTGTGAGAAAGGGGTGGCAAAGGCCGACCCACATCCTGCCCGCTTCTCGTAAAGGGTTTCCTCCCACGAGAAGAGAAGAGGCGCTGGACAAACCCGCGGTTGTGTTTGCGTGCAAATCCGTGCCATTCTGGAGGTTCCAAATTAAAAGCATCTGTTGGTTGCTAAATCACCTTGGCTCCCGTCTTGTTTTGTTAACATGGCACTTCCCTTTCAGAGCGCGCCTTTCTTGTTGCGGCTGGCCCTGCTTCCCCCGGGGATTTGCCTGGCTTGATTCCAGGCAGGACGGGGCAACGTGGATCTGCCGCCACCGTTGGGCCCAGCCTTGGTCCTGCGTCCCCAACCCACCGCAGCACAATGACGGCTTTGTTCCTTCCTCCCCATTACTCATCCTGGCACCCGGGTGGTGAGCTGTCTTAAGCCTTTGCGGCTCGTTACAACACCCGCTCTACTTGGAAAAGGAGGCAGGGCTGCTTCAGCCCTCCGGCCACGCGTTCCTCTGCATGCCGGCCCCAATGGGAAGAAGCAGGGCGCCCTCAATTTCCTCCGATAAACTTCCGACCAGTCGGTTCCAACGCCAACCCTTCCCGGGACTGATGGGCTGATCAAATTTGCTCCAGCAGAAGTTGTGAGGTCCCTGGGGACATTCCCGGCAGGCTGTTCTCAAACCCGGGTTCAGGCTAGGTCTCGCCTCAACCCAAAACGGTGCAAGGAGACCCGGCTCCCTTTGGGGGCGTTGAGCACGGCCAGTGCCGTCCCACAGCGTTGGTGCCCAGGGAGACCTGTCTGAGGCACTTGCCTTTGCCCGCGGTGCCCGTTGCGTGGCCTGGGAAGCCCCGGTGGGGAGGCCTGCTTCGGTCTCAGTGGACGGATGGACTCAAGCCAGCCCACGGACTGCCCACCAACAAATAGGGTGGGGAACGAAGGGTCTCCCCTCTGAGCCGGGGCCCAGTTTAGCTTCCAGGCTGGCCTCGAAACAGCCAAGCAGGGTCTGCGCCAAGCGCTTGGGTGGGAGATGGCCAGCTTGGCCCAGAGGAAGGGGGTCCCGAACTGCCCTTTTAAAAACGATGACTTGCAAACAGGCGAGGGCCCCAGCCTCTGTCCCTCCCCCTCCGGCCGATCATAAAACTCCTTGTCAGATCACGGAGGAATCCAGGAGGTTTGAAGCGAGTCTTTGTGAAGGCAACTTCTGTTTACTGCCTTGGAGATAAAGAGGAAACCTCTGGCGGAGGGAAGACTGGAAAGGTGGCTTTCCAAGGGCATCCTCCAAAAGAAAACACACAAAAAACCAGCCTTGAGGAAGGGGAGGAGACCCTCTGCTTCCAAAGCCAGACGGAGGGTCTTTCCGACTCCCACGGCTTGGAGAGTTGGTCTCTATCGGTCGGGTGCTCCTGGCCGAGGGAGAAGGCCACCTGCCGGGGAGGTGGCATGGAGCCCTGGCAGCTTTCCTCTTACTCGCTGGGGGACGCGTGGCGTTTGCAGCCGGCTTCACCTTACCCTCCGCCCAGCAAACCAGAATTCAGGCAACCCTCCCCTGGCTTTCTGGAAAGGACTAAAGGCCTGGTCCTGCCAGCCTGCGTGGGGCAAGAAGGGTTTTAACCAACCCTGGTGCCCTGATGACGCTCCCCAAGCCTATTAATTTTTAGCTACCATCAATTCTTGGAAGGTGTTTCTTCTTTATTTAGGACTAATTGTCACTGTGTATTTTTAATTCCTATCTATCTTTTCTGCAAACCGCCCAGAGTCGCTTTTTAACGAGATGGGCGGTGACCAATCCGATATATAAACCAATAAATAAAATAAGAGCGAAGCCCGAACGTCACGAAGGAGCCTCAAAGGCAAGGCGTCAACAAAAACCGGCATTGAAACGACGCAGGAAAGTTGCAAATGGAAGAAAACAAAAAGAAGGAAGGTTTGTTTTCAAACCAGTGGGCAAAATCACCAGGCGCCAGCGTTGGGGATTCAGCCAGGCTCTGTGGGATAAGGCTCCTGAGCCTGCGTGGAGGAAGCCTTTAAAAGCTGTAATCTCTGAGCAGGTGCAGAACCCACTTTTCGGCCCCAGAGTAGCCACTGGCCTACGTGGATTAGTCGTACAGGTTTCGACCAAGAATGCTGTTTTCCTAGTGGGCTGTGGCTTCGGCTGGACCTGGATTAAGTAAAACGATTCCCAAAAAGCGAGCAACTCCTTTCCTGAAAGGCTGATTTTAATCTCCCGTTTAT